TATTGCTGTCATAACGTATACTGTCATACTGTATTATAGTCGCCTGTCCTACTATTTTTTAAGTATTTCTTCTTTAGGTATTTCTAAACTATTATATTTTTGTATTATATTTAAATCACGAGTTATGTTTATGGACTTTGACAGTATAAAAAAGTAATTTTGTGTAATGGGCTCCACACCGGCATTTATTAAGGAGTATAGGCAATTTTTCGCTAAAACATAACATTCAGCTAAATATGTTAAACATACATATACCATAGGAAATAAGTATCTATTTTGATAATTAATTTTTTTTTCAACTTTTATAACGCATATAGGATCTATTTTTGTACAAATACATATGTTTCTACTTCAAACGTACTGTTCCTATGAATACTTTGATTTAAGATTTGAAAAAACATTTGAACTCTTCACAACATTTACAAGACATTGACCGAGGCACAATTTTGAAATTATTTTTGATTAAATATTTATTTCACTTTGAAAAATTCAATTTTTTAAGTATTTTAAAACAATTTTACAACTATATTAAAAACGAAAATTAAAAATGTACTTCGGTCATTGCGTCGAGGAAGTATTGAAAAATCTATGTCCGTTTTCAAAGTTATGGTCGGATTATGCGTTTTGGAGTTCTAATTGAATTTGAATTAGTTGTTTTTGATTAAAAATACGCAGGTAGTGAGGCACTTTAACTCAACAATGGAAACATTAATTTATAAATAGTCTATAATAGTACTTCAAAAAAATACACCTAATAATAATTTAATCAAAACCAATGAATTATAAAATTAGAGTTTACTATTTTTAATTTGATCGAGTAAGAAAAAAAATATTCATATTTAACCATACACTTGTATACCAGACTGCCTAACTGCCAGACTGCCATATGCAAAAAAGGTTAATGTTTTTCAAGCAACTACAAGTGTGTTCGACCCTTATGTGTCTTGTAACAAGTAACAACTTGATGGATTTTGATAAATGAGGTGTCAGTCGATACCTTACAATCTCACGAGCGTCAATAAGTATAGGTACTTTAGTTGTAGCCCAAAAACCCAAAATAATTAAAGTTAAAATGAAATTTATTCCTTTAGAAGACAGACTACATTTTTAAAATGATGTATATGCAATTATTCTAAGGAATTCTTTTATTTTAATTTTTGCATTTTTCATTTCATGTATTATAAAACAGTCAGTTTATAGTAATTTAGTAGACGTCTGCCCTTTATTTAATTGCATACAACTCAATTCGATGAGTGAATAAATCACGTATATAATTTTTATATAGAACATGTTTATACTTCCTCTGTAAACGTAAAAGAAATCTGAATAATAGCAACAAAATTACTTTAAATATTATTTAGATTAGTAATATAAAAATTGAATGTGCGAAATTGATAAATTAATAAAGAAAAGGGGCAAGATTTTTGTTCGGAGAATCGTTTCTTAATTTATCCAACTTACTTTTGTTTATAACAGTAAAATTTTAAGTGGAGTTGCTAATCGGTAAACTGTAAAGATCAGAATGGTTTAGTTAAGTAGGCAGAAGCCATAAAATAATTAGTGCACTATTAAGCGTAGTAAGCAGGAAACTAATTTTTATTTTAGTTTTTTATAATGAGTAGACGGCTTACATGTTCCCAACGGTTTATGAAAGGTTAAAATAAGTTTAAAAAAAAAAGAAAAAATTTTAATTTCCGATTACTGCGACTAACCATTATGCCAATGAATTATGAAATTATCACTGCTTATAAAAATATATTGACATCGTGGTACCTAATGAACGATCGCGATTTGGCTTTCCATATTTAAATTTGAAAATTTAACATATTAATATAAAAAAACTCCTCTTTATTCACGTTATCGCTCTGGTGAACGTCCGGTAAAGACTTAAATATAAAATAAATATTCAGGTACGTGTACGCCAAAGAGAACTTAAGATAGGTGATAGTTTGGTGTTGGTCGTTAGGCTCAAGACATTTTAGCCGTGAATTTGAGTCTGTGGAAAAACGGCAAGGAACTGTGAAGGTACAAGGGTTGGCAATCGGATTAAACGATATTGTGAGGGGTGAATTAATTTAAGAAACGGTCGCGGATTAGTTGCATGTTGAAAACATTCTAGGGACTCAAATTTTGCAGTATTTTCAAATTGAATTAGACAACAATTGACAATTGCGTACAGTCATTTGAAAGTGGAAGAAAGCTTATCAGCGTCTCACCACTCGGTAAAATTGCATTCAATCAATTCAGCATGCACACGGGTCTACTACTTAATTTTTGTTTTAATAATCACTCGAATGCAAATCCCTTTTCGTTTGGCCTATCATTATATTAACGCTTAGATTAACAAAAACGTTAATGTTTGGCGCAACAGACAAAACGCTACACAATAGAACGATTCCAAATAATAATCCTATTTATATTGTAATTTATTATATAATTATAAAATATGAAAAACAATAAAATGACAAAATCATTTATTAATTTGAATTTTTTACTTCTGTAACGGACCGTTTACTGATTCTCATTGAAATTTTCAAAGTTCCAGAGTGGCGTGGAAAACGTTTGAGTTTACTATTTGCTTTCGGTGGAAGGATACGAAAAGAATGTTGGCTGAACTCGGCAGACACATAGGTCAATATAATTACAATTACAATGTGTGCAATATATAAGATGAAGATAACGGGCAAATACGGGTTTATTGGGTATCGCAAGCGACTTGCTTTATAAAAAGTAGTGGAATATTATACGTCTCGGTTGTGTGTGCACTTGTACGGTATACATATAATGGTGAGACAGTTATTTAAAAATCTAACGTTTGTCAGAACAATATAAAACAGACTTTCTCGAGGGAATTGAGGAAAAGCTCTTTTCTATCGCATTTATTTTTTTATTATTAACTTTTCGAAATAGATATTTGTAGGGTACTGTTGTCATTTGTTCTAGACCAAAAGCGTTGACCCCTCGCTTACATTACCATTCCTCTGAAATCCACTACATTGCATCTATGCTAATTCATATTATACAGTGTAGAAAATTCAGACGGAACTTGGTGTGCAGTTCAATACTCATATAGGTTTCTGGTAAAATTACTAAAATAAGAGGATTTAGAAAGTAGAGTAAATATTGTTTCTTTTAATCGTGTATAGCGAGTACTTATATATATTTTCTGCGTTATAAAAAAAATGCCAATTAAAATACGTATGGGGTTTAAATTATTATAATATAAAGTAGATCCGCGAAAACGAAGGACTTTTTTATATTGCGACTATTATAACATAGTGGCACATATTCAGTTAACAATATTGAACCTGACAATTACCTGATAATAATTTAATCCATGGTTTCATAATAACTAAAATTCCAGCTTTACAAAAAAAACGATAGATGCTACTATTTTTAGCGTTAAAAAAATTTAACATTAATTAACAAATGTCTATGTAGAAGTATAGTACAAGAAATATCCATAAAAATTGAAAATTTTTAAGTTTTTATATATTTTTGTTTAGTTTTGACTATTAAATAGGTAACCTTATAACAAATATTTTGAATTTAGATATATGTGTGCAGGTTATGTCAAGCATTACCCATATTATTAAGGATTTTTATATGAGCAGAGTAACGGGGTTTTATACATGCTTTAATGTTCTTCCACATATTTATTTCTGTACATAAATGCATATTGTGTATTTATTGAATATTTAGTATACTCCAGTGTATTATTTGTGCATTATGCAAACAGAATAAAAGACAACAACTGCAATAAACATGCGATAGGAGGTTATTCGGCGATAGAACCAAACTTGTAAATTAAGCAAGAGAGTTTATACTAAATTTATAGTTCATCGATTAAAAAAAAAAAGTCCAATCAAATATATAACATTTATTTATAAGACTTAATTAATTCATTCAAGAAAATAACACATGTTGGCGATAAAAAAAAAAGTTGCAACAGATTTTCTTCCCCTCGTTGTTTTTGTTTATATCATATTATTAACGTTATTTGTTTTTTGTTATTCAAAATTAAAACTAATTGTAAGTGGCGAACTGTGTTTTTTTCAGGCGTCTTTGCTTCGTTAATAAAAGTAATTAACCGTTACCCTCTTGCTCTTTTCTATCGTTTTCAGTCGCCATGAACATTATCAATTAAAATATAGAAAACACTTTTTTTTTGTGGTAGTACTGTAATAGGAGGAGGGAGGCGTGTAAATTAAATTGCTGCCGGAGGTTTCAGTTGTGTAATAAAAAAAAAATCGACCTAGTGGCAAGGCTGAAATTATCTCTAAGGTATAATTAAAATTAAATTTTGTTTATTACAATGAGTTGTACCTTCGTAAAAGATTACAAACATCTGGAAAGTTAAAAAAAATAAGCACATCTTTTTTTGGTCTTACAATGATTCTTTTTTTGTTTGCTAAATAATTATTCTAAGTTTTTAAAATAATTGTGTACATAAAATAAAATCCAAAAATTCTATTTTATTTTTACAAAATATAAAAGTGCAAAATTCTAATCTACATAGCCTGTTTAATATTAATAAATATTTTATTTTTTAACAATATAATTTATTTTTAAATAAAGGAAAACTCAGTGTAGGGCAAGAAAGGTCACCAATAAAAAACGTGATATCTCATGCGGTTTTCTTTGTTATTTTATTATGCTCTAAGTGACTAACACTGAAGATGGTCTCTGAAATGGGTCCGAAACGTCATGATCACAGTATGAGGTATGCGAAAATTATCAAGTTGAAGTGCAATTGGTTTTTGTTTTTAACTACGTTATGAACTCAATTGCTATTTTTTTTTATGAAAAAACGGCTTTAGCTAAACAAACGTACTCGTATCTCATAAAAACATTTGTTATATTATTAAACTATTCGACACAACTATTAGTTGTTACAGAGTAACTTTTAAAAGTTAAATAATTATTATACATCATACATTAAAATATAATTCACTTTTTTAAACAATAATGACCCGGATTGAATAAATACTTTTTTCTAGGTTGCTTGGATTCATCTTGATCGAAAAATGATACTGACTGTTCACAAGCATGTGATCGCTAGAATACCAAGATTTAGCATGTCATATGACGGACAAAAGACTTGGATGTTGCACATAAATGGCGTAAGAACATCTGATAAAGGCATTTACATGTGCCAAGTAAACACCGATCCAATGATCAGTCAAAGCGGTTACTTACAAGTGGTCGGTGAGTTGATGATTACAGAACTACGATATTTTTCAAGTCAAAAATAATCCATCATATTTTTTTGCATAGTATAATAGGGTAAACTTAAAATAGCTGATCGTCGTCGTCGAAGCCCATAACAATTTAGTGTTGTTGAGCTAAATTTTGAAACTCTGTACACCTGAGTAATGAAAAACACGAGAGCGTCTGACGATATAACAAAAATTTAATTAAAAAATCCTTTTACCTTGAACCGCAGCTTACAGTTATGAGCTAATTTGTTTTTGTGGTATATGATGGTACGGGCCAGTATATTCGTCTAAGTGAACTTAAAAATATTTTTAAACTCTAAATCCATTTTTTTTAATTAGATATTTTACTAAAGAATAATGGCGGTAGGATTAAATAAAGGTAAAAAATCTTACATAGATTTATATAATACACACTCGCCTTCATTATTTTTTATTTTGCCTACAATTTTTAACTTTCACGCCTTTAAGGATTTATTCACCAAAATGTCGAAGAATCCCAAGAAGTTAAATCTGTAGTTTTTTTAAGCAAATTATATGTCGAAATAGTTTAAATTAAAAATAACTTCACGAACAAAAAGGATAACATTTGTTGCATTCTATTTTCATTTCTTGTGACATTTCGATAGGGAAAATACAAACTGTTCCATAGCAACGTTTACTTTTAAACGAAATGAGATGAGCCATTATACATATTATTTAAAAGTATTGTAACATTCTTTGAAATTCTTGTTATGTATAAACAACGAATGAAAAGACGTTAGGGTATCCGACATTTGTTTTAAATGTATATTATAAAATAAGTTCAAACTAGACATACTCTGTTCTTTTGGTTTTTACTACAAAAATATTAAATTCCAATTAAGTTAAAATTCTAAACTTAATCAACACTTGATTGTGTTGATGGTATTTTCATTGCCCAAGTAATGCATTTATTATGACATAATATTATACTATAATTTTTTTAAATTTATTACAATGCAATGTAAATGTAAAAGTATCTGAAGTTAGTTCAGTAAAAATTATTTATTTAGAATTAAAAACAAAAAGATTTAAAAATATATAATTAAGTAAATATTTTCAAAATAAAATTAAGCAATTAATTCTAATAGTTTCATGTTCGTTTCAACTTTTATAACTGAAAAATCACAATCGCAATCACGTAGTAGAACTTTTTTTGAAATTGACATTTTTTTTTATATATTTGTGGTAAACTTAAATGGAATTGTTTTGTTGATAGTTCCGCCAAACATAGCAGATGAAGAAAGTTCTGCTTCCACCATGGCCGTGAGAGAAGGGCTCAATATATCGTTGTCTTGCAAAGCCAAAGGTTATCCAGAACCAAAGATTGTTTGGAAAAGAGAAAACGGTTTCGATATAACAATAGATAGAAGGAAAAAAGGTAAAGTAATAATATTATTAAAACTATATCGTTTATTAAAACTGTTGGCGTTGTTTAAGTGTTTTTAAAGTTTGCGTATGCTTTATACTCATTTTAGATTTTATAAAATTACACAATTGAAAATAATATTTAATACGATAGCAATTTTATTTATAATGTTATATATATATATATATATATGTATATATATTTATATAAATTAATTGAATTTGTTTAAATTAGACACTAATGTATCAAACTCGTCTAAAACATCTGATTTAACATAAACTTTTCGCCTTTTCATATTGTGTCTGAAAATAAAATAATTGATTACGTATTAATAATTAATACGTAGCAAGCTAATTAAAAAATATAAGTGCAAATATTTAAAAAAATTTTAATTTTAATAAATTTAGATATTTTCAAATTAATTTATTTTAGCTTTAAGATTTGTTTTTACAGAATAATCTTTTTTTAGTTAGGTATAACAATTGTGTTTGAGGAAACGATTTCATAGGAGATGACACCTTGTAAAGTGATTAATATTTTGGTAAATTTTATTATTTATTTCTTGTATGGCATTTTTGGTAAATTAAGAAGATTTATAAATATATATATATACCTATATTAATATTTCTAAATTTTTGTATAAGAGAGACTATAATTATATTAAACTCATTTAATATATATAGTGATGCAAAGACTAATAATTTTCAAAAGTCGTATATTTTTATACCATCTATATATAAATTATATTTTGAAAATAGAGTGCCAATGCACCTTATAAGAAGTTTGCTTGTTACAACCAAACAAAAATTAATAAAACTCGGTCACTCGTAGATGTGATATGACAAACGCGTACCCTTAAGTCTGTTGATACAATTATATCATCGATATTTTTATACAGCTGAGTATAGTATCTACTGTAGTTTCAAATATTATTGTCAATTAGTCAGTATTTAAAATGCATTATAATCATGTATTCTTCATAAGACTGGCAATATCTTACTCAAAGCATGTTTTTGCGTAGACTATAAAATCAACGGTTACTTGAAAACATTTTCTGCTGAGGACTCATCTTGGCTATCACAACACGTCATCATGACTTTAGATTGGTCAATGCATTTTGAACATTCTTCGCATATTCTTTGACAGTCATTGTATAAAGGCTGGTGTGTCGGTTTAGATCTGTTATTTAAAGTACTCTCTAATTGATTTATATCGTCTCTGGATAAAGCCAACAACTGCATAATGTAGCGCATGAGCCTTACATCAATTGTAACGTTTTTGTTGTCATAAGCTTTTGACGAATCGTCCATCATCCATTAATTTTGTATATTTAACTACTAGTTTTTTCTAAGTCCAAAGCTGTAATTTAAAAAAAAAGATTACGTTAGGAATGTATCAACGGGGTAATAGATTTCAAAAAGAATGTTAATAATGTATATAATCAATACTGAAATTAACAAATACAAATACTGCATAATTATACGGTTAAAATGAAATACTTTAGCATAACTGATTTAGTGTATAAAACACTTGACGGTGAACGAATTTTATCAAAGTTTAGCACAAAGAGGATTCAACTGAGTAAAATATTAGCACTTGCGCTGTTGGAACAGAACAGCACTACTGGAAGTAAAGTAGTAATAAATTAGACAGTAGTAAAATCATTTTCAAAGAAAACACATTTGCGGATAGTGATGACAAAATATATTGACTTTTATAACATGAATTATTTTCAAACTATCTGTCTGAATGTAAGTAGATTTTTCTTAAGTACTGAATTTGTCTCTTTCAAATTTATTATTTTTAAGTGGTCGCTTCCACCGTGTTGTGATATTTTTTACCGTTTTGGCTTTTTAGTTAAGACATGTCAAAACAAAAAGTATATTATCATGGAATTTTCAATTTTCATTTTATTTTACTAATGTAATGCTATACGTAGAGCTAAATCTGTATATTATATATTATAAGTCTTATAATTTTTGCGCTACACGAATAAACAATTAGATGAAAAAAAAAGTGTTATCTGAAAAATAAAATGTATAAATCAAAATAATGTGGAAAAATAAAAATTTTAATGTTCAAGCCGTAGGAATAATTCTGAATTCAACAGACGGATTTGCTGTCTGACGGGTAAAATCTTGGTAGCATTCCCAAAGGACATGCCGTCGCGTTCCTGCAAACCGCAAAGTCCGAGCAACAGCAGAACGTGCACCTCTGTGACCGACATACTGTACCCTAAATATATTTATTTTACCATTCGTTAAACTACCCATAAGCATAAATTTTTATTTCTGTAATATATCTAATATTGTTTTACGGTGAAAGTCTAGAACGTAGTAGTCAGGTAAAAATTATAAAAGCTTTTAATGCAAACACATATTGGACAAAAACTTAGTAGCATTTCTTTTATGTCATATGGTTATTACTTACCGATCAAATTCAGGTAGTAACGGATGTAGTTAAAAGTGTCAAAGTTAAGATAAATACATTGAAACTAATGCATAACAATCATTTGTTTTATAAGATGATCTAAACTTACGTAACCGATTCTATTAAAATGTTATAATATCTAGTAATAGGCAATATTAATAAAGAGACGTTATGATATATTATGTTACTTTTACTTTATAGACTTTTAGATTGACTTACATATGTTGTTATTATTATTTGTGTGACTATATCAAAATTAATAATTAAATTGTAAAAGTATTATTTTTCGCGTTACATACTATTTATTCCGGTATTTCGTTAGAGTGCTAATTTTTCGTTGGTTGTTGTTACACTAATAGACAATCTGTTATTTTTGGTAGCACATCAGCAGTTGTTTATAAATTCATTGTCGTTGCTCGGTAAATTATGTTAAAATGCACAAAGGCCAAGAAGTAAATAAAACGAGCGCCCATGCCGAAAGCGAATTTTTTATGTACAAAGTTCGTCGACAATATTTTGTCGTTCGCTAATGGACACCGTCGTGAGTTATTATATTGTTACATGCGTGTATTGTATTATTATATGCCGTAAAAAAGTTATACAACTCCTGCGAGGCGGTTAATCGTTGATGACTTGGAGCAATAGAGAGAGATACGAGTTTTTTTTTTCAAAGTAAAATAACCGTTAAAATATACAAACCATAAAAAAAAAATACGGGTAAAACTCTTAAGTTATGCGATGTTACATGAAGTGCTCCCTCAAGGTAGAATAGAGTTTATGTGATTACTACATAAGTATAGCTGTTGTAAAACGTGAGGTGGTCGAGCAAGACACCACGTCTGTGCATTTTTCTTACCTGTAGAATTAGATTACCCGGACACGGTATAGAATTGAGTTGTTGTTTTGCGCAAAAATAACTTCAACCGACATGACAGCATTTTCTGATTTGTTCGGATAGGTAAAGTAAATCAATTTTTGGACGTCCGGTTCGTGTAGGCGGCCATTAAACGTGGTTCACGTCGCAGCAAGTGTCAATGCCGTTTTTTACATTGTATTGATAAAATTTGGAGGGGGTGGAGGGAAATACTGGGTCTGTTATTGTGCGGCACAACCGTGGAGATTTATATAAATCAAATTAAGCACGTTTTGCAGTGGCATACATAGTCTTGAGGTAATATGATGTGACGAGAAATTAGTGGCAGGGGGGAAGTACTCAGATTTTCCTTTTACACTCGGGTAAAGATGTCTTGAGGATTTTCGGGAGTCGATAAGAAACATAGTTTTAATCTGAGCCAAAACGGTTTTGTAGAAAATTACTGTTATAGTTTATAGTTTTCCTAATTATTATTAAAATATATACTAGCATTAGTGTTGTGAATTATCTAGATAAAACTATTCATGTGTATATGCAAATTATTATATTTTAATCTTATCTAAACAAAAAAAAGGTTATTGGAGAACAATTATCTAAAAAATGAATCTGTTAATATTCTGGTAGTTTTATTAAATAGATTTAATAAATAATTAATATACACAATGACTTACAGAGATAATAAAGATTATTTAATAATTATTTTTGACTGGTGGTAATACTTTTGAAAGAATGGGCTAAATAAGTGACAAAACACACATGAATATAATACATATATATTATTATTTGTATATGTATATTATTTGTGTATATATATATTCATTAGACGAATCATCTGCTATTTCATCTAGATAACTTATTAAACTTCTTTGCACAATACTGACTATTATAATATAATGAATAATTAGTTTGGAAAAGTATCATTTATGGGTACATCATGTTAAACCCAAAACTTTGTTACAGTAAAATTATTACATAGGTACGATGAAGAGTATCTTTTCTAAGAAATTTAAACGTGACAAGACAATACGACGGACAACTTGACTGTCATGAAAAACAGTACACAATTTCACTTAACTCTCTTAAATTGAGCCATCATATGTTTACCAAATAAAGGTATCAAAAAAAAAACTCGAGAATCAAAACAGTTTATGGACAGGCCAAGTCGGACAGATTATATCCAGACGTCTGAATTAACATAAATCGTAATAATACAATTTCATGGAAGATTTCAAATTTTTTTTAACTACATACCTAGTAATATGTACTTCGCGGTCATGTTAGTTTTGATTTTAACTTACGACACGTACGGATGTCAGAATTACACTAGTGGTTATTTTTTTAACGTAACTCCGTTTTAAGTTACTATTTACCGTACGACGCTCAAGGGTGATTCTATTGTCTGTTTAAGATGACAGCGAAAATAGGCCACAACAGTTTTGTCATATGTCAAGCAGGCAAAATTATTTTGACATACGTGCTCTTGTAACGGAAATGCTGTAACAACCGTGTATACTTGCATAATATATATACCTACCATCGGTTGTTTGCGCGATAAAGCTCGACTTATGTATGTATTCACACAATAGGAAGTAAGTGTAAATTATGTTCTTGAGAAGCATCGGTACATCTTAAACAATTTCGTCAGAGTTCGTCTGATAACGTTTTCGTATGATAAACGCAGTAGTTTGAGTTCTGCTGTCACGTAACAATTAAAATTATAATAATTTTAATTTGGTCTTTACGTTTTAACAAAATAAAAAAAAATAAAAATCTAACATAAGTACTATTTTTTCTTAAAAAAAAAAAAAAAGAGTTGGGTTACAAAATTTGAATAATTTACTTAGTATACACAAATAAATAGGGATAGTTAGAATAGTGGGACTATTCCCTTAGAACTAAGTGTTTAAAAAATATTATAATGAAAAGTGATTATAAATTTTAATAATTGTAACGATATTTTTAAAATATTGACAAAGTATTTTAATTGACTTCATGTTTTGATTATAATATTAATGTTTCAATCAGCTATTGATAATTTTATAATAAAATGTTAACACATTTTTTCTAAAAATAATAATAATATTATTCGTTTTTTACATTTTCAGTCGAAAAATTCCACGGCGATACTTTAAACTTAACAAGAGTCACTAGGTCCGATATGGGATCTTATCTATGCATTGCGTCCAACGGCATACCTCCTTCAGTCAGCAAACGGATAGTTCTCGACGTCGAATGTAAGTAAACGCTCATGAGCAAAAATAATATATTCATTGAATATATTAATTAACTTAGTTGATTTATTTATTAAAGTATAAATACATTTTAATTATGATTAAATACAACGCAATAGAAGTTATCAGTTATTTTTACATTACCACAGAGTATACTTAAAATGTTATATAAACGAAATAATATTAAATTTTACATGAATATCAAAAATACGATTAACTTAAAAATAAATTTGTACATTCTACAAACATGTATGGATATAAAAGTTAAAAGTATGACATAAGAATAAAGTATAAGTATATATAAGTTTTATTATAGATGGTTTAATGTTAAAAATCAGTCTGGCCGTTTTTAACGAAAAAAATGTTACTCAAAGAAACCGTCTTTATACTATTATTTAAAGTAAAAACTTATTTTTTTACTTGGTACTCATAATAATATCTTATATCCGGCCATACGATATTATAACATTATAAAAGAATTTCGAGTTATGCTAAGACAAATTATTTATAATATCATTACTACATACTACAGAATGTAACAAGGTTGCAAAGCTGTGGTCGTTATTATATAATATAGTATTAAACTTTTCTTTCAATTTATATTTCGTTGAATAATAAATAACTCATTTTTATATCAATTAACTCGCCGTTTTTCTTCCGAGAACATAAGACTTACATCGCCATTTGATATGATTTTATACGTTTACATATTTTATGCAGTTGTGTTAAATTTCCTATGACGTTCAATACACAGCTCTCAGTCATCTATAATATATTACACCTTACTATATAACACTATAACGTGTACAAAACGGACTAGCCAAAGGCAATAGAGTACACGACAAAAAAAATAAAGAAAAAAAATCTCCAACGATGTCCGCAGTAGTGTATATATGTATAAGGCGTCTGTCATCGTTTCGTCGCAAAAGAAGCGTAATCCCTTCTTATCCTCTTTAGATATAAACGTGTATAAAAAAACAAGTATTGGAAATGAATGAAATCGAAAATTCACTCTTTATCACAACTTATATATATATAAACCTATGCTATTAATATAACAACAGTCTCGGTCGTCGGGGACAATGAGGGTATAAATCCTTTAGAGAGAAATTGAAACCTCCCCCGTTCACCGTGCCACGTTTGTCAATCTCTTGCGTGAATTTCTATAGTTATTCCATCTCTTATGGCATACAAAACAAGTCCAATTAAAACAATGACGAAAACCCGCTTTTGCCCATCGTTTCGCAATCTTCGTCGTGGATTCCAATGCGTACAAGACGGACGACGGTCCGTGTGTTGCACTTGAGTCACGCGACACCGACGATAGTAATTGTAGTAGTATGAATTATGATAATTTTATAGGGTTTCAATAATTTTTTCCCCTAAAATACATTGTACGTGCAAAGCCGGATGCACGCGAACATAGTTAATCGACTCTCGTGCAATTCATATTCACGTGTACAAACCGTTTAAATACATTAACCGTCTAAAGACCGATAGCGCCGTAGCGACGCGTTCGTTTGGAATAATCACCTATAGTATAGTTAAGGCTTAGGTTTCAAAATTCATAGATTTTATTTTAGGCTTAATATTAAGGGCTCAATTTTTTACAGCGTCTTTTAAGCTTCTTAAGCTTAATCTATGTTTCAAATTTCAAAAGACCAGACAGAGATATGAGAGTTAGAAAAACCGAGTGAATTGGTTCGTGTAAAGATAAACTGAAACTGCTAAAACTTGGCCTGGGCATTACCGTACGCTCAGATAAAATGGAAACTAGAATATCTTTATATCAGTATTATTACATAATAATTTTAACGAAAAAATTATGAAGCAAGTTAAATAAGAGCTAAGCGATCAAATATCTGAAAACTCAATCAACAATTAAGGAAAACTTAATGGGCCCCTAGTTTGCATCTATGTCGTTTGCTAAATTACTAAGCCATTTTCAATTATATATTTCTTACTAATCCATACTGTTTATAGCTGGAATTTTCCCCTTTTTGCAACTTAAACCATAAAATCCGCTTGACCTGGAATAATATAGTAATTTGAAGACGGCTAACTTTTTTCTCTATTTGTCTATTTGTAATAAAGTTTTAGTTTTTTTTATTGTAAAATAAAAACTAAATACGTTTTTTTTTGTATTATTATCAAGAAAATATCGTTAGGTATCATTTTCCACATTCTTTATCAATTTATTTTTGTGAATAAAATACATCTATATTAATAAACGTTAAAAAAGGACATGTTAATCGTGAATGAATGTATATATATATACATATATATAATATACAAATATTGACTGAGAGATGATCCAAAGAAAACACGGTAAGTAAGTGGTAATTGGGAAGTGTTGTATGAGAAAATGTTCAGGTGTGAGGTGTTGTCGAACATATGAAAGTGAAGAGGGATTTAGACGCGATGGGAGTGACCAAACAAATTTAGATTAAACAAATGAGTATATTAAAAAGTCTCTAACAAATTAACAGTAACCATGCGCCCATACCTCAGTATACAATATGTACTGCATAGTTGATATTTTTACAGCCTGCAGTATTAGCTCCACCTCGGTTAGGTTAGGACGTTAGGTTATATTTATATCTTTGAGTCTGTAGTGCATGGACCCAGATAAAGCACTTCAATTAATGGGTTGTACAAGAGTATATATAATTATTATATTTTATTTGTAGACATAAAACGAGAGATACGGCGGTTTATGTCAACCTATAGACGTCAGAGTACTCTTTATTGAACATAGCAGAAATATAGTTATATGATTTTCGCGCTCAGGGTCGGCAAACGTTTTACGGTTCAAATCCTAAACAAACCTTATCTGTTCCAAGAAAGTTATTTAAAATACATATATGAATTGTTTAAACTTTAACATATTAAAATATATCCGCAGCATAGAGATAACTGAGGCTGGCCTAACACAAAATAATAATAATTTTATTATTTAAAATGTAGTCAAATATTATAGAATTAAAATTAACAAAATTTGAATTTTCCATCGTTATTTTTTTTCCCTTTGGTTGAAAAATTAAATTCGTTTATTCTATAAAACGTGAATAAGATATTATGATAATCGTAATATTTATATTTATAATAATTCATTTTCATATAATCTGGTTCAATCGTTAAAACTGTCAAAGAACTCAGCTGTTCGTTCGTTTCTGGAACCTAAGATAAAATTAAATACTTTTGGAGACTTAAAAAGTTTTCTCTGCCAATTAATTGAATCTAATAAGCCAGAAAACATGTTTTAACATAGTATAATTCTTGGTGTAATTTCATACATATTCGCATACGGATAATAATATTGGAATATTTATTTATTTTTAGTCTTTAATTAAAGAGAATATAATATAAGTTTAACCGTTTGTTTGTTAATTTTGTACAGGTTTTTCTATGATCACTGCTAACTTTAAAAATAAGTTTTTTTTTGCTTCGGTGCGGAACTGAGAAGGTATTGGTTTTACAATAATATGTTTTAATTTTAATTTTTTTACTATTATTTTTTTTTTTGTGTCTGGACGCACAGTATCTCGTAAACCGCTGAACCGAATTCTTCGTGTAGCAACTCTATAGATCAAAAATCATACCTGGAAGGTACCTAATTGAGCTAATAGTTTAAAAAAGGACCCCTTCTTCATTAAAATCGAGAAAAACACCAACAAAATTTACAAATTTTTCAACTTAAAATTACGATGCTCTATAATTTTTTTAAAAGTATTCGAAAAAGTTTCAAATTTATATGAATCGTTCTTCAAACATAGTACTAACGATAAACATAATAATGTTTTTCTTTATTTCACTTTTTCAAGCTAAGTTTTAAAGATTTAAATCTGAAAATTAGACCAAAGGTCTAAAATGGAACTATAACATGTACAATTTTCTCAAAACTCTGTAGTCAAACTTTTTTTTTATTAAGGAAAAATACCAAAAATAGGGTAAATTTACACGTGTGAGTGAATCAACAGACAACAGGTAATGAAAATATTTTCATTATATTGTTAATTACGATATATGGGTAACTATGACAGTACATTTTTATAGACAGACGATCGACCCTTACCGTATCCACCCTGCACAAGACTAAATATTAAATTTTAAGTACATTATTGCTGGTCCTACGATATCTTCTAAACCGCTATAACTGGTTTGAACATACTATCCACAGATTCGCATCGAAGCGTTTATTTAAAAGCGATTTTATTACTTTCAGTTATAACAAAATCCGTAGACCTGTGATCTCTCCGTCCCCACCGTACTGGATTTTTTTGATATTTTTCTACCTCTCTTGTCATTATTATTTAATTTTTTTTTCGCCGAGTTTGAATGAGTGCATCTGGGGGCGCAACACTAGTTTTTTTTCGTGTAAACCATGTTTTAGTACCAATATTATCACCAACGAGTCTATTAGAGCATCTAAACATCATTAGTATTTGTTTAATATTTATTTTCAAATGATAATACTTATATAAAAAATGATAATACTTATATGATGCTTTCGACATGTTAGATCATATATCTATTACATTTGTAATGATGTAGCATTGTTCTTATGAGTTAAGCAAATCAATTGTGATTGGATCCGTGAATTAAAAAAAAAACTATCATTGGAGTTGCTTATAAACCACTTGTTTCGTAATGTACTACAAGTTATCGATCGTTTCGAAAAAAAATATATACATATAATAAATATTGGATGTACATTTTTTGTCAATATAAAATAATACTAATGCTGAATTCGGAGCATTGTGTAGAATTATTTGGGATTTTCGACGTTGGCCAAATCACTCACCGACTAATGGCCAACTGTTAAAATCCGTACAATTGTATTAGCTTACCTTATTCCTATACAACATCGACGGTAAACGTCACCATAAATTCCAGTAAAGCAATGAGAGGGTATTCGCTAAAAGCGTCCTTTTTCGACGAACTTCCGAAGGACATTGACATTTATTGTCTTTTTAGATTAATGGTGGCCGAAGAAAAAAAAATATCAATCGAGTGTATACAACCCCGACACACATTTATTAAATTATAATTGCTCAAACCAACACCAGTGTCGTGTAAGCGCTGTTGTTATGTAGTGTACATAGTTGGCAGGTTTCTATGTAATGTATATTGTATTATTATGGTATGCATTTTTTTTCTCAAATTCAACATTTTATGAACCGTGAACCAAATAATACACAATAATATAAAGTGTACTAACGGTATTCGGTCACAAATAATTCATACTTATTTCGATTGCAAGTTTAAACAAGTAATAATGTAAACCATGAACTAAGGAAGTTTAAAGTTTAAAAAAACTTTATAACTAATGTCCACTTCATATTTTTCACATATTTTACTAGAACCACCCGAATTGCTTGACATGGGACTTTCGAATTCCTTCCATTCTATTATCAGTTATACTAAAGGCAAACCAAACTACGCAAATTTAAAAAAAAGTCGTGTAAACAAAATTACACGACGGCTATTATGCATACAATGTTATGCATTTGAATTAGGTTATGCTATTTAAAGTTATTTTTTAAATGCTCATTACTCACATTACCTCTGGGATTTAAAAAATAATACACACTCGATTCACTTGCGTACCATGTAATAATAGATAAATCAGAATAAAATGTAAATATTTTTTTATTTACCCATCTGTTGTTACTTAATTTATATTGCCTAAATAAAATTGCACCGATTTTTACTATGTTCAAGCCTAGGTAACATTGTAGTAGGTACTCTGTTGTGCTCAACAGTGTCGGGCTGCGTTTGATTTTGCCTAACCATAAAGCGCGCGTACTTGGGCGCCCAACCTATGCGGAATTAAGCTCCAATTACATGCGGTCAAACTTTTCCGGACTTAGACGGTTATTTCTAAAGTTCCCAAAACAAAATTACACGCAAACACACACAGAGTACATGCTCTCCCGGTTAGATTCGAAAGCATTGACATATTTTATGATTTACATATGCAGAACACGCGTTGTCTTATTGCGGTTTGACACTAGTCAAGACACTACCGCGCGGGGAAGCTCTTTTCCGGTTTGTTCTCGCAAAAACAAAAGGCTGTGATCCGTTAAAAGTTAATTTCACACCAGACACGCGCCCCTTCGTCAATTATTATTACCTTGAAAGTTTGATTAAGTCTCCGCCAAGCAGACGAGCGTCGCGGCTCAAAGTTCAATCGACTTTTCTTACACACAAAAAAAAAGAACTTTACACCACTATTTATTGAGGAGTTCGACATGGGAAATTTTTCGCAAATTTTAAGTTTAAGCTAGTGTATTTTTATTTCTGAGCGCTGTACGTGGTCGGGTTTTTCGAAAATAACTATAAACAATTACAATTTTAGAAAACCGCTAACGTACAACCTTCAGAAATTGCGTATACTTTCATGATTGATACTATGGGTTATTACTCTACAACTACTCAAGAGTATATAAATTAATTAATATAAAATACTTTATAATAATAAGAATATTAATAAAAAGATAGGTATCATTATTATTAATTAAGGCTCTAGATTAAAACCAAGAAAACGCAACGATCAACTTTTCCGCTGGACGTTAGATCGACGTCATTTTTAAGTAAATATTATTCTGTTCTATCTCTACATCTATGATAACAGCTAAGTATTATATCTAATTAACATCGCACCGCTAGCGTCAAACGAGGATCTCTCGTGAAAACGTAGGAATTCCATTATATGTATTGATACAATTTAGTACAACTCTATATTATTATAGTCTAATCTATCTCTGTAGTGCGCAACACTGCGGTAACCATCAAACATCAAAACCCCTATAACATTACACAATGCGTATACTATTGTAGCACGTGTAGGTCTAATTAAAAGAATATATATATATTATATATATATATATATATATATATGTTCAAACGCGTTCAGTATGGATTTTGAGGGTTTGATAGATTTATCGACAAAAGGTACGTGAACCGCTGTCAAATCCTCGTGACCAATACACGTTTGTGTATTAATTTAAACTTTGATCGCAATTAATCACTTATTAAAAAAATTAGGGAGGTAAAATTATTAATCGCACCTTATACGCTCAGTTTCACTACCTGAGATAGTCCCCAATCTACATGTAGGTCCAAATGGTAGTTATAGATCTGATAATCCTTTCTGAGATATGTATTATGTCAAAATATAATCGCATTTATGGTTCTTTTTTTAGTTCCTCCCATGTTGGCGGTGCCAAATCAGTTAGTGGGCGCTCCACTGGGCACGGACGTCACCATTGATTGCACGACTGAATCATATCCTCGACCCATCAGCTACTGGTTATTCCAGAAAGTTAAGTCGATGATATTCTCCAGCACGAAACACAGTCTGGTGCTGGAAGAAAACGGATATAAGACGCACATGAAGTTGACAATAAGGTCATTAAGTCCCGAAGACTACGGCAGCTACAAGTGCGTTACGAAAAACTCACTGGGCGAAGCTGAAGGATCGATGAGAATTTACGGTATGCTAATATCATCGATCAACAAATATCATAATTATTGTAAACTCATTTCAGTATATTGTATTTTTACACAACCCAATAGAAACAATACGCTAACTGCGTGTAAAATATGAATAAGGAAAAAAACATTCAAGTAAGAGAAGTTGTGATACAAATTTAGAGGCTAAGTACTTATCATTATACGTAGAACCAAATTAATTTTACTAAGCTTAGCGTTTAAATAAAAGTATAACCATTTAAGTGTATAAATCGCCAAATTTTTGTATATGAATTTAAAAATTTAATATATTACCTATAGCCGCTAAGCCAAGTAAAATTATTTCGGTTCTACATAAATAATATTATTTGATTAAATACAATTGTGTATGATACTACTTAGCCCGAAAGTTTGATATAACGGCGTATCTAACTTAGTACATGTTTTTTTCTTAGTGATATTTTACAAGCTGTTTGCAAAGGGTTAGAATATCACTTATATTTTTATTTATCTTGATACTTCTTGTTTTTTTTACATGTTTACTTTTTTTTACCGATTTATAGTAGATTTCGATTTTTACCTAACCTTTTTATATTTGTACACTCAAATTTACGACGTTGATACATATTTTTTTTTTTGTATAAATATTGGAAATATTATTGGAAACTTATATATTTTATTATTTAAGCCGGATATAATAATACCGTGTATACAGAGATCTGTGTACATCAGTATAACATGCATGTGTCCGAGATTGCTGTATTAGGAAATTAGGTACCACCAAGTGGGCGACGGGTGTCACGACTTACAACCTCTTTTCAAAATAACGCTATAATAATTATATATTATTATAATCCGTTAAATGAAAATACCAAACACATTGTAATAGTTAATAGTGGTAGTACATAACTGATTAATTATAATGGACAAACAGAATAGTGCAAAATTTACTTAAAGGACAAACGAAAGACAAAGTGCAATAAGTCCAACCATAAAACATGACACAACAAAGTGAAGAGTTAACAACAGTAGAACAACAACATATTAATATAATGACGGTTAAGACATTAGACGATGGTCAAAACGTGCACGGGGATGAGGGGGGGAGGGGTATTCTCTATGTCTCGAGCCTTATGTTTCTGATCAACTTCAGAAGTTTCAGCAGTATCATCGACACAACATGTTCATTATACCATGTAAATTTCATTTAAATTTCTTCATACTTTAACCCACACAAGTGTCAACAGAAATGATTGATAAATTGCCCGGGATGAGTATGGGTTGACTGGGTTCTGTAAACTTCCGCACGCACTTTTTTCTTTTTTTTACACCTAACTCTGCGCAGCGATTGTGGCGATGCATTTTCTTTTTATTATATAAAAATTACATACAATTATTGACTGTAAAATAATGTTGCATATTTTTACTATTAATAGAAATTCCAAGGCCCGTTCAAAACCCAAGGAGTACGTCGGGGTTGTTAAATGGAGCAAATGGTAAGTCAATTAAATTTTGATTATATTTTTGCTAGTTGTACTGCTATACTAATGAAATATTTATAAAGATATGAACCAAACTACACGACGACTATTATTCACACAATGTTATGCATTTAATTAGGTCATGCTATTTAAATATATTTAAACGCTGATGATTATGTTGATATGTTAACCCAACACCGGTCGGTGCTAATTGCTAAATCCAATATTTTAGTTTATATTATTATAACTAAATTCGTACATTCTAATCGTGATTAATGGTGGTCAAGTAATGCTGAATTATTGTCGCTGTTTATATTGCCGTGGAAGACTGCAAACTCTTGAACAATTATACATGCCTATTACGGTTTTGTAAAATCTAAGTATACAAATAATTATGATCGCAGCATTAAAACAAATTACATATTTTGGCCAAGTGGTTGACAACCGCAATTCAATAACAATAAGCCAAACCAGTATTAATTTATATTGTTCTGACGTAATACCGATTTTGAAATTATGTTACGCCAACAGACAAAACTCAACATGATAATTATAACAATTACAATTGTAGTCCAGCTGCTGCTTGATTACTAAATAATTTGCAAGCATAATAATATAATTATTCCTAGTAGTACTCGTAAATAGATTTTAAATTATCCTTCCGATGAAACTATTTCAAAATTAACTGGTAGCACAATCTGATTCTACAGACGTGTAGTTATGAGATTTGTGCTAATATACCAAATACCTAAAGTACATTAAATTAAAATAAAAACCAATACATTGACTTTAACATTCAACTTTTATAAAAACAAACCTAAGGTATTTGATCCTGAAATGTACTGTTATTTTTACATATTTTTGTTTGAATTGAAGATGAAAGTTTTAATTAAACTAAAAAAATGCGATGATATTAATGTCTATTTTATAAATATTTCTTAAAATAAAAAACATTTGACTATAGACTACTATTTAAATTGGAATACTTTATTATAATTAATAATGATGTATGGTTTAATAATATGAAACTATTTTTTAATCAAAATATTATAAAACATATTATTATAATTTTACTAAAATATCATATATTTAATTTAGGCAATTAAAAGGAAAAGTATTATAATTAGACCGCCACATCATTACCAATGACAAATTTATTTATTCCGAGCATTCACATAAATAAATGTGCATTTACCCTTTGAATTATTTATACGATAAACGCGTCATGTACCTACCAATGTGACAAGCGTGCAATTTACAAAAAAAAAAACAATTGCTGTATGATTAAAATGTATTATAAGCGTTTTAAACGAGTAGCTCGTGTGTTATTTTTTTCGGATTCAGTTTAACGAAAAAATTGCATGCGTTTAAAATTCAAATCAACGGCCTACCTGAATTTAGAGGTTAATTAAATTTATTGTACTACAAAAAAAAATGTATATTTCAAACTACAATTCGATTAATTTTGATAAAAGAAAAAAAATAATGGCAGGTAATAAACTTTACAAAAAAAAAGATAGGTACATATCATATAGGTATGATATTGATAACATTTTTTGTTTAGTGGTTACCCCGACGGTTATTGGTGTTCATATATTATATTATTATGTTTGCAGTTGAATGTAAAAAACGTGGTTGTAATTTATCAAACGCAAACCAATTCTGTTCCACGTTGCTAATAATTTTAACAGTTATTACACCTAATAAAATAATAACCAAGCTTTAACAATAACTTTCCACAAAATTGTATTTTGCCGTAAGCGTTTATTATTTAAATTAACAGTGCTATCGTAGTAACAGTAAAATTATTCATAAAAAAAAGCTATAAAAAATGTAATTGAATATTCAGAGAATATTATAATGTGGTGTTTGAATGACTTATAATTTGGCGATAATAAACATATGTGTTACTTGAAGCAGACTTGTGCTATCTGTGCAAGATTTTTTTCGAGGTAAGGGGGGGGGGGGTTGTGGTTAGACGATGATTTTGGAAAACGTCGAAACGACAACAAACAAAAATAATGTTTTGGTATTTATAATTATGAACGATAGTATGTACTATGTACACAGAATATAAAATGTATTTTTTTTGGTGTATACACTTGGACTCGTGTGGTTTAAAGATATACATAAAATAAAATTGTGGGGTAGGGTAAACACGGGAAATTCCTCCCACAAGTCTGTATGCTTACAATTTGTGTAAGGGCTAAAGCTTTCCATCGAAATGCATCGTGCTCCACCTATGCGTATTCACTTAGAATTGCCCTACTTGACCTCACACATCAACACGCGTGAGCCATATTAATACAAACACTGTTTCGGGGTCATACATAAGTCAAATATACCTAAAAGAAAATTTTTATTTTTTTATTTTATTCAAATATAAAATATATAATATACTTTTGTGGAACTTATGTTAATAATACGTTTTAATCCTAAAAAAACACTCGAGTTACGACAACAATCTACTAAAAATGTAATAAAACGTCTTGTATAATATTCGGGACGCTATTATTTGTTTTAAATAAAAACCAATATGTAAAAAAAAAAAGTTTTAGGCATGTTTTAACAAAAAATGTCAAAATCGTATGGACTTTTTACAATCACATGGGTGTAATAAAAAAAAAGCTAAAAAGGTATAATAATTATATGTTTCATAATGGGAAACCGATCATGAATATTGATTATAGTATAATCAAATGTATAATCTTTACATTATCATTATTCGTTTCATATTATTTAGTTAAATGTGTGTATCGTAATTATTGCCTCTGCTGTATTATACCTGTTTAAATACTATTATTTATTTAGTTTTTTTTTTTTTAATACATTTTACTTAACTTATTCCACTAAAATAACAACAGCTTTTGTACGTTTTGACTGGCTAACCGTAAATTAATGACCAACTCGCATTGTTGTGAATTATTTATACAATATAATTCATTGTTTTCTATTCACTTACCTGTGTGGTCGCATTTATTCGTTGTTCGGTTTAACGGGTTTACATTAAATATCAATATATGATGTGTCAATACTTCTATGCTAAACCATACTTCTTTGGAACAAGTATGTCGGATACATAACTTTCCGACGTTTGATAATCATACAGACTATACATACTGTTAAGGAAAACCAAGTAATTCAATTTTCTATGCATAATATAATGTTCGTCAAACAATCGATTATATTTTTATAGATAATTATCTTTGTATAGATAATTATCTTTATGCACCAATTTTAATTGGTTAGTCTTAATCAGTCTCGACTGTTAAATTATTAAAAATCATTTAGGTAATATTGTAAAAAAAAAGTTTGCGTAACACATTGTGTACTTACAGTATATTATTAGGTGATTAAGTGATGGTATTCCATATGAGCACATTAGTACATCAAAAACATGCATTTGTAATTAACGGCTTGTTTCTGTTTTGTTACAGAAACAATCAAAGACTTGCATCAGATATTTTTGTAGGTGCACTATATTATCACGTTATCTAGAGTCTAGATTTATAGAAGTCTATACATTTTCAATCCCAAAAGTACACTTTACCTTTTATCGCACTCCTGAAATTGACACAACTTTAAAAATACTAACATTAGTGAATACGTAAAAAAAGCGACAAGATTACTAAATTGCATCAGAATTAGAGTTGTGTAAAATGATTAAATAACCAAAATTCATATACTAATTAAAAGAAATGATATTGTTTTACTAAAATCTTTTTTATCTATAGTCTTAAAATTACATTATCCGATCATTATCACTTATAAGACTAATGCTCATAATTTATTGTATTCCAATAAGTAGTTTTAGTAGACCTATGAAAAGTTTAAATACCTACTGGAAAGAATATATTAAAGTGATTGTTGAGTTGTTATTTCTTATAACATTTAAATTCCTAACAACATTTTAAATTATTGATTAATAACAATAATTAATAAGTAAAATACAAAATAACTGTAATCTTTTAAAAAAAATTATGTAGAGTACTGTTTTTTTTTTTAAAAAAATCATTAAATTATATTCAACACAAATTAGATACATTAAAACTCTGAACAAATTATAGGTTATTTTTTTTAACGCTAAAATGAAATTTATAATACCACTTTCTTTACGTTAATGTTTATTTTATGCTTATATAACGTTTAACATTAAAAAAGGTAAAAAATATCGATGCAAACACAATATTATTAGTGAAGGTATATTTTTTTAAAATTTACTATGGAACTTGTTTTCAGTAAATATTTAGTTGTCAAATTTACTATAAATATAAACTCATTATTGAAACGTATAATATATAATAAAAACTACATTGATTGTTGAAATAAAGAACTTTTAGAGCTACTATCGTTAAAAAAATCCGTCATGTAACCGAGGTACAAACAAGATACTAGTTAGTGACTTCAGACTTTCCAAAAACAAAACTACTGTAGTGAACAATAGTGAATATTTAGTACTTTCTCCCCTGTGTAGTGTGCTTACAGCCGATCCCTAAAATATGTAAATTTTCAAATACGGTATTGTCCAAAAATATGAAACGTAAATCCGTATAATTTTATTTTAGTTAACGCGATAACAACATGAGACTGATCATTATATTTTGTTCACGGTCGGTCATGTTCGACAAAACTATTGCCTAAGTCAGCACACGCATTGCCGAAAGCCGTTATTTGGAAATACATAACTTTATAATAATTATTTTGATGTTGTTCGAGGAAACATTATACCTTTATCGACCTAACCGCACCATTTTCCAGAAACCAAAATGCTATTTAGTTTAATAATGGACAGCGCCGACTGTATGCTGGTATACTGGAATTGGCGCAACTAAAGCGAGACCAAAGAAGCTCAGTCCCTTTAAACCGTTTTAAAACAAATTCCAGTTGCGCCGATTAGTACCAGCTACTAATCGCATTTATCACATTTACTAATAATTAATTTTGAATGAATGACTTATTAAAAAAGTTAAAAAAATTGTACACAACCTGGCTTATTTTAGCTATCAACTAAATAC